TGCTGTGTGTTTTAAAAACGTCTGCATACATCTGTCTGCGGTGACATTGTGTATCCAAACGATTATTCAAACATCATAGTGTTATTGCTGATATTGCCAAGTTTCCTCTTTCTCTGTATAAAAAGGAGGTGGTGGCAGTGTGAAGGGTTAATTGCGTAATTCACCTGACCCAGTAACAATCGCTCCCAGGCTGCCGGTACACAGATTGTGGTCCATTAGCTGGAAAATCTTTGTGCAGGGTGCAGCTGGGCGTGGCATTGTTACGCACTTGACAGCGCGGTTTTAGATTGGCTAGTCCTTTGGTCACAAGTTTAGTGAGAAGGGCTGGGGTCTGACGCCGCGACCGCTTCTGCTACTTGTGCTCGCCACTGCACCAGCCTGTACTGCACGTATGGGATTCGCCATGTCACCAACTGATACTGCAGTGCTGGTATGTGAAAGACCAGGATGTACTAGGCCACTGGTGTTCGCCAGTTCACCAAAAGGTAGAGCTGCACTAATACTGGCACTCTGCTGCATATGAGAATCATTGAGAAATTGTAACATCTCAGCAACCTGGGAATGGGGTCGGGTACGCCTGTCCTTAGCAGGGACCTCTTCTCCATCGTCTGAGCTATCTGTCAGGGCACCGCTGTTGTCTACAGATTCGTATTCTGAGGCAGATTCTGTCAGTGAGGCTTCCCCTTCGCTCTCATCTGACATGCTTAGAATCCTGTAGGTCTCTTCACTAGAGTACTTTTCATTGGACATTTTGGCCACTAAATCTATAGGTACTTAGACACCTGCCTGTCAGGGACTGCTTGAACCATTACATAAAAAATTACCTGCAAGTGCTAACAGAGATCAGGCCTAATTCTGTGAACACTGCGGTTTTGTGTGCAGTATGTCAAGTGACAGTGATCTACTGACAGTGTAGGTGCTGGCAGATGCTGGGCTGATCCCACTAACGCTGCATTTTTGGGGACACTGTACTAATGTGAATGCTGATATAGTGCTGATCTGATCAAAGATATTGATCCGTTTAGACACTATACTAGCAATGGAGGTTTATTGTGTATATGAGCGTGTTCCTGGCAATCAAGGGGTTAAATGTAATTACTGGTGTAGTGATGGGCAATCTAACGCTATCTGGGAGGGACGCTAACTGACGCTAATGCTATCTGAAGTCACCGGTAACACTAATACTGTGATCAGTAAAAAAATCTGTACACTGTACTAATGACACTGGTGAAGGGGTTAACTGGGGGGGGGGGGCGATTGAGGGGGTTAAATGTGTCCTAGAAGTGTTCTAAGTATAAAAGTGTGCAGCTTTTACATGTATCTGCTTTATTCTCTCTCTAGGACAGAATGTGCCCAGAGAGAGAAGATTGCCTCATTTCCTGTACCTGTGTAAGTGTAAACACAAGTACAGGAAGATCTCTGATAGGGCAGGGATTGACCATTGGATTTCAGGCCGAACATCAGTGGCCTAAATCGGATGATTGATCCCTTGGGCACCAAATCATGGTACCCGCGGGGCGGTGGGCACGCACAGATGACCCAGTCCCTTTGTTTATTTACTGTCAGTGCTGGGAACCAGAGCTATCAGTCGACCAATGCCTAGCATGCAAAATAAACAAAGGGGCGTGGATACCCACTGTCATTTTCTGCAATCTGTCCCCGTGTGCTCTATTCAGTCACCACCCCCACACTGCACCCTGCTCACAATCGACTGTAAATCAGTATGTTTTCCCTGTGGATGATTTTTACCTTTCCATCAATGTTTTATGTATCAGTCTCGTAGTACCATCAATTCACTCCAGAGTGTACCAAAATGCACTAATTTAAAATGTCCTGTGTTCTGATTGCCCATCAGTAATGCAAGTTTGGTATGTTAAAGTATAACTAAAGGTAATGTTTATATTTTTAGAGATGAGCGAAGTATTCAAAAATTCGATTCGGCTGATTTGGCGAATTCGAGGAATAAATTTGATTCGATGCAAATATATTCGCTGCGAATTTAACTTATAAAAAGGTGTTTCTAGGCTTCAGAGAGCCTTTATATTAGTGCAGAACACTGTACCTTTAATTTAAATGCCCTTGGAGTCTGCTGGGGAAGAGAAATAATACTGTCAGTCAGTATGACATGCAGATGAGTGCCGTCGATCTTAGAATCACCGCACACTTCACTCATTTGGGCAGTCACGGGGTCAAAACCAGAGTGTGGAGCCACAGTGTGGCAGTGGAGGCAGCAGCAATGGGAGGCTATACAGCACCCTATGACAAAATGGAACCCACCAGCAGTGTGAGGAGACCTGAAAGTGGCACATGGCAGAGTGTGGCGATGGAGACAGCAGCAATGGGAGGCCGTACAGGGACCCATGACACACTCTGGACCTGGCAGCGACCTGGCAGCAGCATGAGGAGGCGGTACGGGGGCCCATGGCAGATTACGGGCCTGGCAGCAGCAATGGGAGGCCCGTAATCTGCCAGCACCCTATGACAAAATGGAACACACCAGCAGTGTGAGGAGACCTGAAAGTGGCACATGGCAGAGTGTGGCGATGGAGACAGCAGCAATGGGAGGCCGTACAGGGACCCATGAGAGACTCTGGACCTGGCAGCAGCATGAGGAGGCGGTACAGGGGCCCATACGGGCCTGGCAGCAGCAAATGGGAGGCCCGTAATCTGCCAGCACCCTATGACAAAATGGAACACACCAGCAGTGTGAGGAGACCTGAAAGTGGCACATGGCAGAGTGTGGCGATGGAGACAGCAGCAATGGGAGGCCGTACAGGGACCCATGAGAGACACTCTGGACCTGGCAGCAGCATGAGGAGGCGGTACGGGGGCCCATGGCAGATTACGGGCCTGGCAGCAGCAATGGGAGGCCCGTAATCTGCCAGCACCCTATGACAAAATGGAACACACCAGCAGTGTGAGGAGACCTGAAAGTGGCACATGGCAGAGTGTGGCGATGGAGACAGCAGCAATGGGAGGCCGTACAGGGACCCATGAGAGACTCTGGACCTGGCAGCAGCATGAGGAGGCGGTACGGGGGCCCATGGCAGATTACGGGCCTGGCAGCAGCAATGGGAGGCCCGTAATCTGCCAGCACCCTATGACAAAAATGGAACACACCAGCAGTGTGAGGAGACCTGAAAGTGGCACATGGCAGAGTGTGGCGATGGAGACAGCAGCAATGGGAGGCCGTACAGGGACCCATGAGAGACTCTGGACCTGGCAGCAGCATGAGGAGGCGGTACGGGGGCCCATGGCAGATTACGGGCCTGGCAGCAGCAATGGGAGGCCCGTAATCTGCCAGCACCCTATGACAAAATGGAACACACCAGCAGTGTGAGGAGACCTGAAAGTGGCACATGGCAGAGTGTGGCGATGGAGACAGCAGCAATGGGAGGCCGTACAGGGACCCATGAGAGACTCTGGACCTGGCAGCAGCATGAGGAGGCGGTACGGGGGCCCATGGCAGATTACGGGCCTGGCAGCAGCAATGGGAGGCCCGTAATCTGCCAGCACCCTATGACAAAATGGAAACACACCAGCAGTGTGAGGAGACCTGAAAGTGGCACATGGCAGAGTGTGGCGATGGAGACAGCAGCAATGGGAGGCCGTACAGGGACCCATGAGAGACTCTGGACCTGGCAGCAGCATGAGGAGGCGGTACGGGGGCCCATGGCAGATTACGGGCCTGGCAGCAGCAATGGGAGGCCCGTAATCTGCCAGCACCCTATGACAAAATGGAACACACCAGCAGTGTGAGGAGACCTGAAAGTGGCACATGGCAGAGTGTGGCGATGGAGACAGCAGCAATGGGAGGCCGTACAGGGACCCATGAGAGACACTCTGGACCTGGCAGCAGCATGAGGAGGCGGTACGGGGGCCCATGGCAGATTACGGGCCTGGCAGCAGCAATGGGAGGCCCGTAATCTGCCAGCACCCTATGACAAAATGGAACACACCAGCAGTGTGAGGAGACCTGAAAGTGGCACATGGCAGAGTGTGGCGATGGAGACAGCAGCAATGGGAGGCCGTACAGGGACCCATGAGAGACTCTGGACCTGGCAGCAGCATGAGGAGGCGGTACAGGGGCCCATGGCAGATTACGGGCCTGGCAGCAGCAATGGGAGGCCCGTAATCTGCCAGCACCCTATGACAAAATGGAACACACCAGCAGTGTGAGGAGACCTGAAAGTGGCACATGGCAGAGTGTGGCGATGGAGACAGCAGCAATGGGAGGCCGTACAGGGACCCATGAGAGACTCTGGACCTGGCAGCAGCATGAGGAGGCGGTACACGGGGGCCCATGGCAGATTACGGGCCTGGCAGCAGCAATGGGAGGCCCGTAATCTGCCAGCACCCTATGACAAAATGGAACACACCAGCAGTGTGAGGAGACCTGAAAGTGGCACATGGCAGAGTGTGGCGATGGAGACAGCAGCAATGGGAGGCCGTACAGGGACCCATGAGAGACTCTGGACCTGGCAGCAGCATGAGGAGGCGGTACGGGGGCCCATGGCAGATTACGGGCCTGGCAGCAGCAATGGGAGGCCCGTAATCTGCCAGCACCCTATGACAAAATGGAACCCAGCAGTGAGGAGACCTGAAAGTGGCACATGGCAGAGTGTGGCGATGGAGACAGCAGCAATGGGAGGATGGCCGTACAGGGACCCATGAGAGACTCTGGACCTCTGGACCTGGCAGCAGCATGAGGAGGCGGTACGGGGGCCCATGGCAGATTACGGGCCTGGCAGCAGCAATGGGAGGCCCGTAATCTGCCAGCACCCCTGCCAGCACCCTATGACAAAATGGAACACACCAGCAGTGTGAGGAGACCTGAAAGTGGCACATGGCAGAGTGTGGCGATGGAGACAGCAGCAATGGGAGGCCGTACAGGGACCCATGAGAGACTCTGGACCTGGCAGCAGCATGAGGAGGCGGTACGGGGGCCCATGGCAGATTACGGGGCCTGGCAGCAGCAATGGGAGGCCCGTAATCTGCCAGCACCCTATGACAAAAAAATGGAACACACCAGCAGTGTGAGGAGACCTGAAAGTGGCACATGGCAGAGTGTGGCGATGGAGACAGCAGCAATGGGAGGCCGTACAGGGACCCATGAGAGACTCTGGACCTGGCAGCAGCATGAGGAGGCGGTACAGGGGCCCATGGCAGATTACGGGCCTGGCAGCAGCAATGGGAGGCCCGTAATCTGCCAGCACCCTATGACAAAATGGAACACACCAGCAGTGTGTGAGGAGACCTGAAAGTGGCACATGGCAGAGTGTGGCGATGGAGACAGCAGCAATGGGAGGCCGTACAGGGACCCATGAGAGACTCTGGACCTGGCAGCAGCATGAGGAGGCGGTACAGGGGCCCATGGCAGATTACGGGCCTGGCAGCAGCAATGGGAGGCCCGTAATCTGCCAGCACCCTATGACAAAATGGAACACACCAGCAGTGTGAGGAGACCTGAAAGTGGCACATGGCAGAGTGTGGCGATGGAGACAGCAGCAATGGGAGGCCGTACAGGGACCCATGAGAGACTCTGGACCTGGCAGCAGCATGAGGAGGCGGTACGGGGGCCCATGGCAGATTACGGGCCTGGCAGCAGCAATGGGAGGCCCGTAATCTGCCCAGCACCCTATGACAAAATGGAACACACCAGCAGTGTGAGGAGACCTGAAAGTGGCACATGGCAGAGTGTGGCGATGGAGACAGCAGCAATGGGAGGCCGTACAGGGACCCATGAGACACTCTGGACCTGGCAGCAGCATGAGGAGGCGGTACAGGGGCCCATGGCAGATTACGGGCCTGGCAGCAGCAATGGGAGGCCCGTAATCTGCCAGCACCCTATGACAAAATGGAACACACCAGCAGTGTGAGGAGACCTGAAAGTGGCACATGGCAGAGTGTGGCGATGGAGACAGCAGCAATGGGAGGCCGTACAGGGACCCATGAGAGACTCTGGACCTGGCAGCAGCATGAGGAGGCGGTACAGGGGCCCATGGCAGATTACGGGCCTGGCAGCAGCAATGGGAGGCCCGTAATCTGCCAGCACCCTATGACAAAAAATGGAACACACCAGCAGTGTGAGGAGACCTGAAAGTGGCACATGGCAGAGTGTGGCGATGGAGACAGCAGCAATGGGAGGCCGTACAGGGACCCATGAGAGACTCTGGACCTGGCAGCAGCATGAGGAGGCGGTACGGGGGCCCATGGCAGATTACGGGCCTGGCAGCAGCAATGGGAGGCCCGTAATCTGCCAGCACCCTATGACAAAAAATGGAACACACCAGCAGTGTGAGGAGACCTGAAAGTGGCACATGGCACATGTTTGGGGCATGATTCATGGCGGATTTAGTCAGTTGTGTCAGGAACTGGTGGTTTGAAATCCAGACTAATCCACGCCTGATTCATTTTCACAAACGTGAGTCTCTCCACACTTTGGGTGGACAGTCGTGTCCTCCGCGGAGTTACAATACCTCCTGCCGCACTAAACACGCGCTCCGATGCCACGCTACTGGCCGGGCATGACAGCCTTTCAAGGGCAAATTCAGCTAGTTGGGGCCAAAGGTCAAGTTTCGTTGCCCAGTAGTCAAGGGGATTGTCTACCTCGGTTGGCAGGGTGCTGTCCAAGTAGGCCCAAGCCTGTTGTTTGAGGTCCTGCTCCAGGTCCACCTGATGCTGCTGCTGCTGCTGCGGCTGGTTAGTAGTTTTTCCTCACTGCGCTGGTGAAGAAAGCTACTCATCATCGACTGCAGACTGAGGCAGCCGCTGCTGGTGGAGCTGCCACTGCTCCTACCACCCCCACCCCTCCCCTGCTGCCATGGCAGCGGAACGCGAGCGCACAGGGCCCACAGTGTCTGAGGATGGACGTTGGCGCAGAAAGGCAGAGACCAACTGACTACATAGGTGGTTTTTATAGTACGTTATTTTGGCCTCCCTCTCAGCAGGTGTGAAAAAGGCCACCATTTTTGAACGGTAGCGAGGGTCCAACAAGGTGGACAGCCAAAAGTCATCCCTCTGTCTGATGGTTATTATTCGGCTGTCGCTACGCAAGCAACCGAGCATGCTATGGGCCATTTGTGCCAAGGAATGCGAGGGACTCCCTGCCTCCATCTCCACAGCATACTGCCACGGTGCGTCTGGGTCCTCTGTCTCCTCCTCCTCCTCCTCTACCAGATGCTCCTGCTCCTCCACTCCTGTCCGCTGAGTGGAAAAACCACCCATTTCACTCAATAATTCCTGAGCACAAATGTCCTCCTCTACCTCCTCCTCTTCTTCCTGTCCTGCCCCCACAGGGGTCATGTGGCGTTGAGATCTGTGCGCCGTCTACCGCACCCTGACCAGCCATTGTTAACAGCATTTGTTCCAGGACGTGCAACAGAGGAATGACGTCGTTCATCCCATAGTCCTGCCGACTCACGAATAGCGTGGCCTCCTCAAAGGGCCTGAGCAAGCGGCAGGTGTCACGCATGAGCTGCCAATGGCTGACATCGAAGTTACACAGGGGAGTACCTTTATCCGCTTGTAACATCAGGAAATCGGTGATGGCCTTTCGCTGTTCGTAAAGGCGGTCTAACATGTGTAGGGTTGAATTCCACCTTGTTGCAACGTCGCAGATCAGGCGATGCTGTGGATTCCGTTCTGCCGCTGCAGCTCAAGGGAGGGTGTGCTTTGCGGTGTAGGAATGGCTGAAATGCATGCAAAGTTTACGTGACATTTTAAGGATGTCTTGCAGTGGGATGGTGGATTTTAGGAACCGCTTGACAACCAGATTGAACACGTGAGCCATGCATGGCGCATGGCACAACCTTCCTTGACGCAGAGCAGACACCATGTTCTTTCCGTTGTCGGTCAACATGGTTCCGATTTTCAGTTTGCGCGGAGACAGCCATCTGTCGATTTCTCTGTTCATTACACTCAGAAGTTCCTCCCCTGTGTGACTACGTTCGCCAAGGCATACCAGGTGCAGCACAGCGTGACACCGTTGCGCCCTGCATGTGATATGCCGGTCGGGTAATGGGACTTGGCACGGGGGTGGCGGCTGAGGACACGGCGGAAGAAGAGGTGGTAGAGGCGGACATCTTTGTGGACCAAGGACGTGCAAACGTGGAGGCAAAAGCGGCGTGACCTGTCCAAGTTGCTGGTGCGGCTGTGCCGGCACCACGTTCACCCAGGGGCCGTAAATGACATGTACTGTCCCTGACCGTAGTTACAGCTCCACACGTCGGCGCTGCCGTGCACTTTGGCAGAGACCGACATGCTCAAAGACTGGCCCACCATCTCTTCTACATGTGAATGCAGGGCTGGCACTGCCTTTTTGGCGAAGAAAATGCCGGCTTGGCACTCTCCACCGCGGCGCGGCACAAGCCATCATTTCTCGGAAAGGTGCTGAGTCCACCACTTGGAAAGGGAGGGACTGCAGCACCAGCAACTTGGACAGGAGGACGTTCAGCTTTTGCACCGTCGGGTGCGTGCTCGCAAACTGTTGTCTCTTGGAAACGGATTCCAAGAAAGACTGCTGACGGAATCCGTGAAGAGGAGTAGCAGGAGAAGGAGCATCTGAACGAGCGGAAGATGCCAACGAGCGACAACTCCCCTCAGCAGAGGTGTTGGAGCCTTGACTGGCTGATAGAGGGCGATTGACGTCGGGTGACGGAGCAAGTAACGGAGCGGGTGATGGAGCGGGGGCTGGGGCAGGCAGAACCGCCGTATCTTTATCACGGTTTTCCCAGGCCACCAAATGGCGACGCTGCATATGCTGACGCAACGCTGTAGTCCCAACATGGGCCCCCTGGCCACGCTTGACTTTCTGGCCACATAGTCGACATACGGCTACGTTTACTTCCTCGGGCGGCTTGACGAAAAATTGCCACACCGCCGAGTAGGAAACTTTGCCCCCGCTACTCCTCACTGGCTGACTGCTACTTCCTCCGTGCACACCGGCACCACTACTGGCCGTGGTGGTAGGCTGCAGTGGAGCTGGTGCTCTACTCCGTGGCCGTTTGCCTCCACTGACACTGCTGCGACCCTGCTGCCTCCTGGGCAACCCACCGACTGTTTTGCTCGCTGCCAAGCTGCCACCCTCTTCTCCTGATGATGCGGAAGCAATAGCCTGATGACGACGAGGCTGCCAAGTGCGATCAGCCTCATCATCATCAATTAGGGTCTCCGCCTCACTACTAGCCCCCTCGGCTGCGTGTGGGTCAGGAGACAGACCTGTCTCTAGACCGGCTACCGAGCCACTCTCCTCGCCAGTACTTCTTCGCCTGGCTGCTGAAGAGGCGGATGTCTCCCCCCCGTTCCTGACCGCCCTCTGTTAGCTCTTCCTCACTGTACAGTGGGGCTGAGCCCACAGCATGCGATACTTACTTCGCTTGGTGAGGGAACACCAAAGGACAGGGGCAGGTAGAGGACACGTGATTTCAGTGGGCTTGCTCCCGGGCCATGCCAACTAACGGTTGTGTCTGACGTACCCACCGACCGTTGGCTGTAGGTGTCAGAGGTGACCTGGGAAGAGGAAGACGACCGAGCCAACCAATCGATGACGGCAGGGTTGTCGGTGGAGACACGACCGCTGGATGACACCGGGAGCACTGGCCTCTGGCTGGCTGCGACTAGTGCTGCCTCGACCCCTTCCTCTGCTGCCACGTCTGCTCGCTCCTAAAACATTGCCTCCTCTGCCACTCCTCTGCGTGTTGTCTGACATACTCTTTAATTAAACGATTCTGTGTCCCTGAGTAACAATTCTGTGTCCCTGAGTAACAATTCTGTGTCCCTGAGTAACAATTCTGTGTCTGTCCTGAGTAACAATTCTGTGTCCCCTGAGTAACAATTTCTGTGTCCCCAGTAACAGTAACAATTCTGTGTCCCTGAGTAACATTTCTGTGTCCCTGAGTAACAATTCTGTGTCAGTGTAACCCTCCCTGAGTAACAATTCTGTGTCCCTCAGTAACAATTCTGTGTCTGTCCCTAAGTAACAATTCTGTGTCCCTGAGTAACAATTCTGTGTGTCCCTCAGTAACAATTCTGTGTGTCCCTGAGTAACAATTCTGTGTCCCTCAGTAACAATTCTGTGTCCCTGAGTAACAATTCTGTGTCCCTGAGTAACAATTCTGTGTCCCTCAGTAACAATTCTGTGTCCCTCAGTAACAATTCTGTGTCTGTCCCTGAGTAACAATTCTGTGTCTGTCCCTGAGAGTAACAATTCAATTCTGTGTCCCTCAGTAACAATTCTCTGTGTCCCTCAGTAACAATTCTGTGTGTCCCTGAGTAACAATTCTGTGTCCCTGAGTAACAATTCTGTGTCCCTCAGTAACAATTCTGTGTCCCTCAGTAACAATTCTGTGTCTGTCCCTGAGTAACAATTCTGTGTCCCCTGAGTAACAATTCTGTCTGTCCCCTGAGTAACAATTCTGTGTGTCCCTCAGTAACAATTCTGTGTGTCCCTCAGTAACAATTCTGTGTCCCTCAGTAACAATTCTGTGTCTGTCCCTGAGTAACAATTCTGTGTCCCTGAGTAACAATTCTGTGTCCCTGAGTAACAATTCTGTGTCCCTGAGTAACAATTCTGTGTCCCTCAGTAACAATTCTGTGTCCCTCAGTAACAATTCTGTGTCTGTGTCCCTGAGTAACAATTCTGTGTCCCCTGAGTAACAATTCTGTGTGTCCCTGAGTAACAATTCTGTGTCCCTCAGTAACAATCTCTGTCTGTCCCTGAGTAACAATTCTGTGTCCCTGTCCCTGAGTAACAATTCTGTGTCCCTCAGTAACAATTCTGTGTCCCTCAGTAAC